TTATTAGGCGCCGCGAAGTAAGCGGGCATTGGCTAGTTTATTAATAAAAATCAACGAAAATTATATAATAATTACTTTTGTTGATATTTTTTGAATTTTTTTTCTTTTCTGAATATGCTACAAAAAGAAGCTCACACATCATTCTTCCATATAAAGCAGATTGGGTACTAAATACGTAAATACTTATTATTTGGCGATGTCTAAATACTGAAGTCGAAATAACCGAGGTGTGTAAGAGTTGCTAAATACTGAATGAAAGTACTGGACGCTTCATACTCTGATCTATAGAACTCAGTTTGGTACTTAAGAGATGCAAAATACTTCCACCCAAAATTGCGGTAAAAACTCCGCAGTATTCCCAAAAATTTAAAGTAGTCCCGAAAATGCCTAAATAGCCCTGAAAGTCCCGAAAACACGGGTATAATCCCCAAACTCTAGCGATAATCCCAAGAATTTAGTAAGTCGCGAATTGGTCTAAAAAAATTCCGAAATAATAGCGAAAATCCAGAGATTTCTGAAACTGTGCCAAAAATCCCGAAGACATGAAAATACCGGAGTAATGTTGAAAATTCTGAAATAGTCCTAAAAAAAAAAACCCCAAAGCAGACCCGAAACCCCCAAAGTAGTCCCAGAGACCGGAAATAGGTTCGTTTTGATTGTTGATGTATGATTACGATGACCGTCAGTACATTATTTCAAAGGACAGTACATGTTTTTCTTTTTTATTTTTCCTGGAGGAAACAAGACGCTGTAAGGAGTGGCGAGTCCATCCATGTCTATGTACACAGATGACACAAAATCTCGAGGGTAGGGTTGGTGAAGGTATATAAATACTCCGAATACCTGGCAGCCTCACTTAGCTTTCGTCTTCCGAATCACTGTAGCGGTTTTCAGGCGGGACGGGTGGCAATCGACAGGGCCACAAATCTGATAAGGTGCGATGTGATATCCCAAGCTAATATCTACATTTTCACTGACAGGCGGCATTCAAATCGTTTAAGAGGCAGTCGGCCGGGAAAATGCTTGACATCTTTTAACGAGTTGGCTATTTCGCTCAAAGGTAATATGGGCTCCGGGACACTGCGACATACTGGGGAATTGTAAGGACGATGAAGTGGCGTGATAGTATTTGTTATAACAGGACAATTGGTAAGCGTAAGATTACATGACTTCTTTGGAAGTTGTCAAGGTGAACAGGAGGATGAAACGATTCGGCACCGGTTGTGCCAGTGTCCTGCTCTATTAAGACGAGGACTCCACTCTGGGTTCAAAATTCTTCGATAACTTGGAGGACCTTAGTTGCGTGTAAATCAATGATCCAATGAAATTCCAGCGAAATTTAAAATGGTTTTAGCAGGAATTGGGAGCTGCTGACCCCACATGCGGCTGCACGACGGGCCTTTAGCTTAAGTCTGCCTCATAAACGACCATACAACCTTACCTAATCTATCCTCGAACAGACTGCTTTGATTTTGCTTTTTCTTCCTCCGGGACGTCAAAACCACCATTTCATTCTGTAAAAAAGCATGGAGTTGCCATTCGGATCCAAAGACTTCAGATCACATTTCAACCTAATCGTTCTTACGAGTATCATCTACAGTAACCACACAGCCGAAAAACTAAGCTTCTATAATTGTTATTTCGTTGGAAGCCTCAACGCTTTTCAATAAATTACCACCTATTTTTTTACTTCCCACTCTTCTTTTTATTCTTCAGCTCACCGCTCATGACGCTTTATCGACTCTGGCACACTTCGGGGGTCATCCTTCACAACATAAAGACGTAATCCCACTAAGCTGACCCGGAACAATTCCTTCCAATCGAGATGACGCATATCAAAGCCAAATATCTGTTTATCTGCACCTTCGAGTTTCTCCGACAACGCACGCACATTATCATTATCGAATTTGAAATCATTTGAACTGAAGTATTCCATCACAGAACAGAATTTATGTATTTTCCGATATATTTTCAACATTCTGTAAAATGCAAAAGATTCAAAATCAGGCGAATGTAATTTAATTTAAGCAATCATGACAATTTTTATTCAATCGACTCTCTAGTTTCCGTTTTGAAATAAATTCAATCACATCTGTACGCACCTAGGCTTCTTGCCAACGACAATCATGGACAGATCCATAAACATGGCTGGCACTGTGTGATATAAAAAGGACAAAATCACAAATTGCCAACGCCAGGGAACAATTGTGAAACGTGGATACCAAATTGACTTGCGCATCGGTATATTGCAGCCATATTCGAAGCCATATTCCATATACTCCTTCCAGGTGACCATGTTGTCGGCATCTGGCACATAGTTGTAGATGGGTGGTGTATCATAGCTGTGAAAGAGGAAGTATAAAAAACGTCCAATAAAATAGCAGTGGAAAGGCTTTTTATGCCAAGTTTCATAGACAACTTGATATGTTTACTTACGTCTTGCGCGCTATATCCCAAGCACTGGCCAGCAACGCATTCACCGACAAATCCACTGGCACTATATTGGCTTTGTTGTCGACCTTCCCGCTGAAGACGCGCAACACACCGGAACCGATGCCAACAATTATGCCGCAAGGGCCATACATGTTATCGATCCAACCAGAGATGGGTTCCTTGTAGGTGGTGATAACTGGTGAAGAAATAACAATAGTAGATACTTACTCAATTAAAATTAATGAACTTAGCTGGAAATTACGATAAAGGTAGGCTTGAACGAGGATTCCAAATTTAAACCTATCCCAATAAACCTGTGACAGGTTCGTACGATATCTGAAGCTACTTTAAAGTAGTCATTGTAACGCATTAAATTGTTTAATATAAAAATTAGAATATGATGAATTTATTGCTATTTTTTTGGATTTAAGCCAGAGTGGAGCTATGAGTTACGAGCGACAACTTTAAAAGTCGGATTTATCTGGCTTAAAGACTGACTGAAGTCACGGACGTCTTTCTATCAGTAGGTGAATGAATCTGCAGCGGTCTCTTCCCTCGAGGCAAGGAGCTCACTTACAATGCGCTCGATTAGTAGTCCTGGGAGCACCTGAAAAATATGTTCAGGCGCTGCGCCCACCACGATTCCAAGACACATTTTACCTAAAAGTCGGAAAATTTAGCCATCCTGGCAGTACCTCCGACACTGAGAGGGCTGATCGGCTTTGCCATAGCAGGAGACATTGAATAAGGTAGTACCACCTACCAGCCTCGAAATATTCATAAAGAATCGTGGGCGTATCCTAACTAAAATGCGAAAAATCTAATGGGTAGCGTTGTGGTAGCCTAACATATTTGTTGACGTTCGTTCCACCCGAAGAGCCAAAGTGCGCCTGCGCCTCTTACTCGGCTGCCAGCGATGCAAAAAATTTACCTCGGAAAGCTTGTGACTGGACTCTCAGTCGTGCTTAAATAAGCAACTTCTCATGGAAGAGGTAGTGAAATATTCGCTTCGGAAGAGGTAGTTGTTTCCCCAAATTTTAAAACCTCTAAAACTGTCAAAAGACAAAAGAAGCCAGAGAACGGAGTACGAGAACGCTTTCTGGTAAATTCCTGTAAATTCTTGCAACTTCTTGCGAGTTAGGGAACGCAACTTATTTATTCTGTTTATGAGAAGATTGGTAACTGCTTCTTATGTCATCCAGCACAGAAAATCTGCAATTGCTTCTTGTAAGTAACTACAAACGAACTTTACTGGACTAGTTCAGGGCTATTTCAGGCTCCCATGGTTACGGCCGGGATAGTTCAGGACCGTTGCGCGACTAATTCAGTACTAATATAAGACCATTTTGGGACCATTCAGGAGCCGTTCGATAGCATTTCGAGACTAGTTCACGATTTTTTCGACCGTTTCGAGGTTTGTTCACGACTATTTGATTTAGAGACTATTTCCGAACTGTTTCGGGATAGTTTACGACTGGTGCAGAAACATTTCGGGATTTGTTCGTGATAATTTTGACACCATCTCGGGTTCATTTTAGACTAGTAATGAACCTTTTCGAGATAATCTTAAGACTTGTTTGAGATAGTATCGGGTCAAGTTCACGACTTGACAGAACTACTTGCAAACTTTTTATTTCAGACAATTTTGATACTAGTACGGAATCATTTCGGGGTAGTTCGAAATTAGCCATGAAATGATTCTGAAATAGTTCTGCAGTAATGCCAGAAAATAGAAAAAAAGTATAGATAATTGCCATTTTTTCCCCGCTTTCGAAAACGAGAATCCCTCGCTTTTCCCACACTCTAAATTTACGGGTATTGCATTCCCTGAAAAATCTTCTTAAAAAGTTAAAAGTTAGCATGAAATTTTATTGAATTTTCCTGAGTTTTGCACAAAATTTAGAAACTGTATTTTTATGTTTATTTGCTTTAGTATTAAACATATTTTTATTAAAATCTAGCTAAAAAATTAAAATTCATTTTTTTTCTATACCTTGTGAAAAATTCTCTGGGTAAATACTTCTGGCCGGTAGCCCTGTGGTCAGCTGATTAAGTTAAGTGACATTTTGGCCATTTTTGGCTGTTTTCTTTTGTCTATTGAATGTTTACGTTTTTTATAAAAGTTTAGCGAATTACATAACCAGCACCACATAAATCCACATTTCAAAATTCGTATAAAATTTATAAAAATTAAACAAACAAACAATTCCATCCAAAAATGTAAAACTTTTTATTACAAACTTTTAGTAAAATTTAAGGAATGCAGTCTTATAACCCATTAAATTTTATTCGGTTAGCTAGAATTTGAGTAGTAGTAGCTAGCAAATCGCGATGTCTTTTAATAATTTTTTTGGCTGGCGGTATTGGGCATTTTCGCCCCATAGAGTATGCTCGACAATTATGTACTTTTATATAGAGGAAAATGCCTAGCACCGTCAGCAAAAAAATTATTAAAAATCAACGGGATTTTCTGGTGTTTTAAAATTTGCACTTAACCTGTTACAATTTAATGGGCTATAAAACTGCGTACCTACGAATTTTGAATAAAAAGTTCAAAATTTGTGAGTGTAATTGTTATTTTTTTTTTTAATTTTATAATTTTTGTACGAACTTTTAAGGCTATAAGGTCATGCCAATTTACGTCACAAAATGCCCTTAAAGCAGGGAGGCCATAAATAGGGCAGCAGCAACCAGGCGACTGCATATTTATTGGGTCCCCGGCCACAAGGGCACTACAGGTAACGAAATTGTAGATGAGATTACCAAGAGCGGAAACCACTTGGTTTTAGAACAAGAGAATAACATTCCGAAACCGCTAAAAAATCTTTATAACGAAATAGACCAGAGGGTGAAAAGGCTATATCGAGATGGAAGAAGTTAAACACCTACAAAATTTCTAAAGTCATATGCAGACTGGAAAACGGGACACAAATCCTGTTTATATATCGCTGGCAAGAAGAGACTGCAGAACTAGGAGAGGTGTCCCAACGGACAAAACATGTTGGCAGCGCACGCAAGCAAAATAGGGATTGCTGTCAGTCAAGTTTGCACAGAACACATCCTATGTAACCTAAATATATGAAAAAAAACTGGCCAGAATGTCATTTAACTTAATCAGTTGACCGCCACTGTATATAGGCATCTGGAATACGTGACTGATGGAACTATGGCAATTCGAATAGCCTATGGCAGCTGGACAGTTCAAGTTACTCTGAAGGGTATAAAAAAACTAAAAAATCCACAATTCACATTTCCTTTTTTTCCAAGACCTATGTCAAATTTGCGATTTCACTGTCCAAAAACAAAATGCTTTCTCTTTCATAGCAAAATCATTTTAAGCCGCTGCCACAGGTAACCAAAGGCGCCGCACACAAATTGCCTGTCAAATGAGTTGTTTCGTAAACTTTCGGCAATGGCTTATTGT